ATTTTCATTGCTTTTATAATAGTTAATATCTGGACCTGACTTCTATTCAAAATGATTAATTTAGGTAAGTTTGGTATTTTAATTCATTGAAAATGTGAGAATTGAAATATTGGACTTTAGGAACAAAATTTACTCTAAGGATAAATAAATTACCAAAAGCATTTAAGGTTGATTATAAAAGCATTATGTTTGCAGTCAAATCCAACAAAGTATAATTATGCCTGACGTCAAATTATTCTCAGCCACCAAATCAAGGTACCTTGCTGAGCGTATCTCCGATTATTATGGTTATCCACTAGGAGATGTAACCGTAAACACATTTGCAGACGGAGAGATGCAAGTTGTCATTAACGAGTCTGTAAGAGGTACGTACACCTTTTTTATAGCGTCTACCTTTGGTCCTGCTGACAATATCATGGAGTTGCTACTATTAATAGATTCAGCCAAAAGAGCATCTGCAGGATATATCACTGCTGTCATACCTTACTTCGGGTACGCACGACAAGATAGAAAAGATAAGCCTAGGGTACCGATTTCAGCCAAACTTGTGGCAAATATATTACAAGCATCAGGTGTAAATCGTATCATGACGATGGATCTACATGCAGAGCAAATCCAAGGTTTTTTTGATATTCCAGTAGATCACCTAAAAAGTGAGGCCATCTTTATACCATTTTTGGCAAAGATGGACTTGAGCAATGTCACCTTTGCATCTCCAGATGTAGGTGGTGTAAAAAGAGCAAGATCATACGCCAAGTATTTTGAAAGAGACCTTGTCATTTGTGATAAAGAAAGACGTGTGGCCAATGAGGTCGCAAGTATTACGGTAATAGGTGATGTGCAGGGTAGGGATATTATATTAATAGATGACATCATAGACACAGCAGGTACATTGTGCAAGGCAGCTGATGCGCTCATCGAAAAAGGAGCAAAAAGTGTGAAGGCGATACTTACCCATCCAGTACTTTCAGGTGCAGCATATGATAATATCAACAATTCAAAGATCACAGAAGTCATAGTGACGGATAGTATTCCATTAAGAGGGCAATCTGACAAAATTAAGGTCTTGTCTTGTGCAAAACTTTTTGCTAGAGCGATCAGAAATACCCATGAATACAAATCAATAGCCGCACTTTTTGTGGATAAAGGCATATAATTGATTGAGTCTGGGATAATTATCTGACAAGTTGTAAAAATAATTTATAAAAATATTACTAGAAATGCAAACAAATAGTATCTTTGCGGCTCTTTATAATTAACGTATAGTTTTTTAGATATGGTATCGATAGAAATTCAAGGAAATACAAGGTCTGAGCTTGGTAAAAAAGGCACAAGAATAGATAGAAATAATGGTAATGTTCCAGCTGTTTTGTATGGTGGTGGTGATGTAGTTCACTTCACAGTAACACCTGCATCTGTGAAACATCTTATATATACACCAGATTTTAAAATTGCTGATTTGTCTATTGATGGCAAAGCTTACAAAGCAATTCTTAAGTCTGCACAATTTCACCCAGTAAGTGACAAGTTACTTCACATTGATTTTCTAAGACTAATTGACAATACACCAATCAAAGTGGAAGTTCCATTAAGATTCAAAGGAGTATCTCCAGGTGTAAAAGTTGGTGGTAAATTGATTCAACAATTAAGAAAAATCAAAATCAAAACAACTCCTGAGAAATTGGTAGATGAGTTGAAAGCTGATATTTCTAAATTAGAGCTTGGTCAAGCATTAAGAGTTAGAGAGGTCATCGTTCCTGCGGGCGTAGAAATCCTTAATAACGCTGCAACACCAGTAGCACTTATCGAAATACCAAGAGCATTGAAAGCTGCCGCTGCTGCTGAAGCAAAAGCTGCTGCCGGAGCAACAGGTAAGAAAAAGAAATAATTCTTAAGAGAATTTAGATATAGAAAAGGGATAATCGCAAGATTGTCCCTTTTTTTTTATGTTGCATTCGAAGAATACAACACCATTAAAAATATAACACCATTATTGATTATGCTACCAAGCAAATAAAAAGAGCCACTCCTGTAATCAGAAGCGGCTCTTTTAATATTTGCCTTATAAGGTTTAACCTTACTTCTCCATATAACTTTCAATCGGCGGACAGATGCATATCAGATTTCTATCGCCAAAAGCACTGTCTACTCTTGCAACACTTGGCCAACACTTATGGCCATATCTTAAATATGGTAGTGGATAAGCTGCTTTTATTAAAATGTCAAGTATATAATTGTATTACTCATAGTGGCCTTTAGCAGAAAGAATAGATACTATATTGTCTGATACTTCATATACTAAACGGTGTTCTCGGTTTATTCTGCGGGACCAACAGCCAGAAAATTCATGCTTGAGCGGCTCCGGTTTGCCAGTTCCAGTAAAAGGGTGTTCAGATAGTTCTTCAAATAAGGCAAGAAGTTTATATAAAACGACTTTATTGCCTGACTTTTTGTAAGCATTAATATCATCTTTAGCTTTATCCGTAAAATCTAAATAGTAAGCCATGTTACAAACCTAAAAATTCTTTAAGGTTTTCTTTTTCGACTCTTGTTACCCTACCATTTTTAACCTGTTCTTTACTT